ATATATATATATATATATATATATATATATATATATATATATATATATATATATATATATATATATATATATATATATATATATATATATATACAGTGGTGTACACTCGTGGTCGCCCGTTGGCAAATGCCACCCAAATCATTAGAAGGGCTACTGGAAATAATGTTTTGATGCAATTAAGTCTCCAGGCCGGGCGACTCAAATTTATTTATTCAACATCAAATTATTTATTTAAATTTAATTATAAAACTAAATTTTTATAATTAAATTCAAATTTAATGTCATTTAAATCTAAAAAATCAACGTAATTTAAATCTAAAAAAACAATGTAATTTAAATTAAAACTTATTACTTGAATTTAAATTACTCAACATTTAAATTGATTTTTTTCTAAAGGTAAATTTGTTCCTTTGTTTTTGAAAATCTATTATGAAATAGATTTTGATAATCTCTTTTTAACATTACATAACAATTAATAAATATAACATAAAAATAATTTTTTCTGGATGACTTCATATTGATTTACCCAATAAAGCAACTTTTTTAAAGTCTGATTGTTGAAGTTTATTTTTCTTCTTTTCTATTAACTTACTTAATTCTGTTTAAATTAGAACGCCGGTTTTTGCCTTTTTTTAAAGAACAATCGCAAGTTTTTTATAAAGAAAGCTTTTTTTAAAGATGGTAGGTATTCCATTGTTATATTATTAGAAAAAATTTAAATATAATGATCAGGGGTGATTTTATGGGGGAGGGGGGGATATAATCACCCCTGTGATTTTATCCCCTAGTCAGATAAATCTCGTTTTGAGGAACTTTTTTTTTTTCTCAGGTAGTTGGTACATTTTGAGGATTCGCTCAAAACCCTAGTTCAAATGTTTTTAAAAAAAAATTTTATTAAAAGGCCGTTAAAAACTCATTTATTTAAAGTTTAATTACATAAATTAATTCATCTATAGTTTTTTTGAAATAAATAAAAACTGAAGTTTAAAAAAATAATTGTTATTTTATTCCTAGTGAAAGCACACACTTAAAAAAACTTGTTTAAGACATAAAAAACTTTTTTTTTATGATCACGGACGACTCAAAATATTGGCAGATGACCAAGACTAGCTAAATTATTACTCTCAGTCACCCACCGGACAACCGTCCAAAATCCGAGTGTACACCACTGATATATATATATCAGTGCTCGAAATAATGTTAAAAAATCTTATCAGGAAAAAAAAATTTTTTTACAACCACCCCCCAATTCTCCTTCTCCACCCAAGGCGTAGCTTTGAGGTAAGGGGGGTTACGTAGTATAAAATTTAAATTACTCTTTAAACCCGTTTTATTTTTAAAGAGTATTACACTGTTATTTTAAAAAGCTATAAAACAGCAATAAAACAATAAAACGAAGTTGTATTGTCAATATAAAAAGCTTTTGTTAATATAAAAAAATTTTGTGACATTGTTTTATTGCTGTTTTATTCAGTTTATAACAATAATAACCTTAAACATGTTTAAAATAAAACGAAGTAAATAAGTAAAATTGTTCTAATTAATAAATTAAAACATTATCATCATAAAACTTTAAACTTCTTATTTGCACAAAAGTATAATATATCCATAGACTAAAGAAGTAAGATCAAAGCAAAAAAACATTAGATACCACGTTTTTCCTAACAAATTGCCCTCTTGATCTAGGATGCTATAAGTATAATTAAATTTTTCATTTAAATGATTTTTTAGTTTATCTTTTCATTCAATTTTTTCATTCAAATTGTTTAGTAATAAAAAGTGAGAGAAAAAAATTGGTTTAATAAGTCTTAGTTTAATAAGTTTTAAAAGTCGAATTAATAAGTTTAAGTATATGCTTAAATTATTTTTTCAGAAAAAATTATTTTTTAAACAAACAGTAAAACAATTAAAAAATTACTTATTTTGATGGAAAAACGCGAATAGAAAAAAAAAAAATTAAAATTTATTATTGGGTTATAATCATTCACACCAATGTTATGTTTGCCCTGATTTTGCCCCTGATGCCCAATAATATGTTTGCCCTGATTTTGTTGTTGGGACTTTGATTACTGCAATGTACCCAACAGATGTCATCTCTCTGTGGCCAAATGAAGTTTTGAGAAGGTCCGAGAGGGTGCATTAACTTAATTTGAATATCATTTGTAGTAATATCTCTGTAACCATGCCTATCCACCAAAGGAATTGTACTTGCATGCAACAAAATCATTTAGATTTGGTACAATTACAACATTAGACATTACTGCTTTTGACAGTATAAATCTGTCAACACGTCAATGTTCGTTTGTTCTTTTAAAACTAATTTCAAATTTAAAATGAATATGTAATGATGATAACTTCTGGTACCTGGAACAGTTTTTCCTGTTTCAAATTGCTCCTTTAGTTGATGTTGCCTTGCATTAACTGTTTCTTTGGTAATTTTATAAAATATGATTGTATTTATATTGGTGATGCTAAACTCAAGCATATCATTAACTGTCAATATTTGGTTTTCTAATGATCTTTGCAAACTTGCTCTTACTGTTATTCTTTTAACGGTACCACCTATACCATTACAAGTGGATTTTCCATGGATGGTTGCAAAAAATACCCATTCAGCTGTAATTTTGAAATCTTCTTTATGGTGGCATAGATTTATAAAGTGTTTTACAGTTTTTATAATGAGCAGAACATCAGAAAAATAATAAATTTTATTGATACTAAATATTCTTTAATGTACTCTACAATTTTCTTTTGAAATTCATACACAAAGCATGTATCATGATCATTGTCATCATTTAAAAAACAGAATGACTTATGCTGAATATTTGTTTTAGAAAATTCCTTAAAATATATAACAACAGGATGAAGTGTACATTGTTGTTTATTCCAATGATAACTTTGTATTTCATCCTGTATAACAAATTGATAGTTCTCTGCAAAATCTGCCTGTATCATACTTTCATTGTAACCTAAATTCTTTTTTAGTTCTGTTTTAATTCTTTTTTAGTTTTTTAGTTTGGCATTTAGCAATATATGAATGTGAAGTTAGTTGATTAATGTGAGAAACAACTAGTTCTTTATATTAAGTTAACTGAGTAATTAATTGTGACCTATCAGTACTTTGCCATTGATTAAATTGAATTTCTTCTTTTTCATCAATCTCAATAAATTCCTCATCTAAAAATGCCTTTAAGTTATCATAAGCTGGACATTTGACACATGTATGAACCATGCATTCATTATTGCATGTATCACATACTAATTTTGACATTAAATCTTTGTATGTAACATTCAATTGGACAGGATTTACATTCAATATTGAATTTTGATGGTAAATACAAACACATACACAGTGTGTACTGTTTGGTCCCACACTAATACACCATTTTGGACACAAACTACAAAACTTTGAAAATCCTATTTTAAAATTAAGGAATTTACTTTAAAAATCAATATAAAGCTTGTGAAGGTTGCACAACAATTAGACTAGCTAGAGCTCTAAAACTTCTAGCACTTGTGTAAATTTAATAAAGGTACATGTTAAAATTGTTTTCAGAGCAAACTGAAAAACTCCTTTTTTTTGTTTTGATTTTATTTTATCTTGACAGCATTTGGGAGGTCCCAATGAATATGCATGTTAAATTTGTTTCCTGGGCAAGGGGGGGGGGGCTGTACCCTAATCTTTTTCTCTAATATTTTGTTTTTCTTTGGGGTTTATAACTTTTTGGAAATCAAGATTTTTTGCAATAAAGCTTTGAAAAGGCATTTTTTATTTATTTGTTTTAGTATTAATTTTTTTGTTGGGAGGAAATAGGTTAGTGGCCCTGATAAAAATTTACCGTAAAGAAGCTGGACATATTTGTAGCTATGCTGCTGCTTTTCACTTCTCTTATTCTGCGTGGTCATAGTCAGGGCCGTTCCAAAGAGGTGGGGGGGGGGATGTGAGGGTGTTACATGAGTCATAACAACCACTCTATCAGAAATGAAAATTAATTTTGTTTTGTTTTGTTTATTTATAAATAGCTATTTATAAAACTGTTGTCTGGAATGAAATAATTTCAATTAGTCTATTCCATACAACAATTATTCCAGTTAGTCATTTCCAGAAATAACTTTCATTTTGGTTAGATTGGATTTTTAACAACAACCACACTATATAAAAGAAGCCAAAATACAAAACTTAGAACAAAATAAAAAACTGCAAAATAAAATTACAAAAATAAAATTGCAACATGCAGAGCCATTTCCAAAGCAAAAAAAATGAACCTTTTAAAAAAAACTTTTAAATAACCACAAAATAATATAAAATAATATCAAGTGTAAATAATATCAAGATTAATTAAAAAATAACAGCTGCTTATTTTAATTTATTTAATATAGCAAATTTAGTAGATTCCAACCACATACTTAAAATCAGGCCTGTAACCTTTTTGTTTTTGTTTGAGAATTTGACTTTATGTAACAACATGGAGCAAACTCCAAACATTTTTATATTCATGTTAATGTAAAGCTTTTCAAAAGTATTGCGATAATCGGAGTCTGTTAACAATAAACCCCTAAAATGTTTACCTCCCTTAATGTCTTAAACAAAAACATTCTTTAAAGAATGACCAAAAAACAAACTAAATGATAAATTGGAATAGAAAAAAAAAAAAACCACATAAAAAAAAAAAAAGCAATCGCAAAAATATTTTTTTAAAGAAAAATTTATTTGCAAAGGTGTGAAAAAAAATCGTGATATGCTTAATTTGAGCCTTATATATATATATATATATATATATATATATATATATATATATATATATATATATATATATATATATATATATATATATATATATATATATATATATATATATAATAGGTGTAAATTTTAGAAATTGATATAATATGATTTTTATATATTCAAAATATTATACAATATTATTATAAAATATTTAAAATATATAAAAGTTTTAAAATTTTTTTAACAACATTTCTATTAATAAATTATAAATTACCTTTAATGGTTGCCGCAGCATACCTGTAATTACCTAAAATAAAAATACTTCAATAAATTACTTCATTAATGTTTAGAAAAAAATTTTAAAAAGTATTTATTTAATAATTAAGTAAACTGTATAACCTCAAGTAATGAGCCATCACCACCAGCAACTATAATTCCATCAACTGATGGGTCAAAGTAATTCATTAATGTCTTTGCATGACCTTCATAACTGGTCTTTATAAAAAAATTAAAAATTTTTTTGTTCAGTATATATTCATATGATAAACCTAGTAGAGAACTACAGTACAGTAGTAATATATAATATAATACAATAATAATTTAAAGATCATGCATGTGGAGTCAAGCTAAAAGTGTAGAGTTGGTAGTTTTAATAAACCCTAGATGGAAGCCTAAATTATTTCTATTTATAACTAGTTTCTTAATATTTTTAAATTAACACTTTTTGAGCTTTTACTTTTAGTTAAAAATAAAATAGTCTTCTTGAAAATTTCTTCATTTTAAATATATTTAAAAAATATTCAAGTTGTAAATGAAGCTGAGGCAGAGTTGTAAATGAAGCTGAGGCAGAGTTATAAATTCTCTAGAAGCCAGATTTCAGCCATGAAACAAAATTGTGGCAAAAAGTCTGATAGATAACATTGGATAGAGTAAAAAGATATTTAATAAATGTAAAGAAAAAAAGGTATTACTTGTATATATGTGACATCCATTCCAGCCAAATGAAATATTGGAGCAGCATTTTTCTGAAACAACTTTTTGCATTTGCTACAAAATAAAGTTTTTTTTTTTTAACAAAAAAAAATCATATTGTGTTATAACGGGTAATACGTAAGTTATTGGACAAAATAAAAACGTCAATAACTTGTTTATAAATAAAAAAAACAAACAACTTTTATATATTCTTTAAATAAATTTATCTTTTAATAAAAATAAGTTATTTTTTAAATGAAAAAACACTACCATCTGCAATTGATCTCAATTTTGTCTGACGCCTTTCATAAGCGACTGTAAAAAATCTAAATTGATTTCTTGTAGTTTTAATTTAATTTGATCAATGAAAACTCTTTTGAAGCCAATCTCCATTGTAAACCGTCTGTGCCAAATATCTCCAAAAATTTTCAATTGGTCGTGCTTGAGGTACATTTGGGGGATTGGATTCTTTATCAACGTAATAAACATATTATTCCATCCAATTTAGAGAAATTTTAGATTTTTTTGAAATTTTAGAATTTTGATAAATCTGGCCAAAATAAACAGGTAAAGTCTCCATAATACTTGTAAATGAATGGAAGAAGTCATATTTCTAAACATTCATCAATATAAATCAATGAACTAATTGCTACAGCCTTGGTAATGCAAAACAATGGCTCGGACATACCACGGTCAGATATGGCTATCCACATAATTAATTTTTTTGGAAACTTCTCTTTTTTAATAAAGGAACACTTTCTGGGGATTTTTTTTTGTTGTTTGTGTGTAGTATCTAGAATTTCCAAGAATGCTGTCCTCTGCAAAACAAAAGTACTTTTCGCCATTGATGACCAGAAGCAACTTTGTGTTATAGAGTTGGTTGACTAGCTTCCTGCTTCTTTTCTTTGCTTTTAATTGTTGTTCTTTAGTGTATTTTGGAGTCACGTTTTTTATATTTAATTTTTTTTTTAACTGACGACCAATTGTCAATTGATTTATTTTTCTCTGACAGACCCCTTTTTGATTGTTGACAAGTCTCGTTAATTCAGCTTTTATTTCTCTAGTCAAGGATGTTGGATGACCTGGGCGCTTTCTATCAGAAAAGAATTGAAAAGTTTAGTCTTTTTAGGGAACCATATATTGTACTTTGAGCAAATCCTTCCTTTTCAAAATGATTTTTGCTGTTTTATGCAACTGTTTTAATTTGTATTATTGGTGTGCATTGTCTAGGCCATATAAGAAGCTCTTTGCTATGACTTTGGTTTAAATAGGGAGACTGAGGCAACTGTATGGGTTATTATATTTATCTATGACTGAGTCAATTTCTTTATTTATTAAAAACTAAAATTTTAATCTATCCTTTACAAATGTTTGCTCTCTTCAAATTAACTTTTCATCAGTTGAATCTTACCTCAAAATTCACAAGATTATTGGTTATTGTTGTTTTATTTGCAAAGACTTCAATAGTCACATACCTGGACATATACTTGCGCATCAATTCACCTAACTGTTAACTTGAACCTGTTTTCTCATCTATAAAAACTTGGGGCTTTCAGTGGCTTGTAAATTATAAATAAAAATCAGTTATTTACTGCAAACAATTAGCAATATTGTTGATATTCCTATATCAATGAATGACACTCTTACTGATTCCTCTTCTTTATGTCTTCTCGGATTATCATTCACTACTGAACTTTTATAAAAAACATAAAATTATTTGCTAAGTTAGCATTTGCTAAGGTTGCCTCTTTTCATGGGACTCATCATTTCCTTACTCCCAAATATATTTTCCATCTCTACAAATTTCTTATTCGATTCTGTATGTCAAATAATTTGTAGTTGCTACAGAAAGTTATAGAGATGGAGAATATAATTGTACTGTATTTGACCCGACTTACACATAGAGTTGACAGCCAACTCTTTTTATTAGCCATTATTTTAAAAAAATTTTGTCCAGTGTTTTAAGTTATGTTTTATAACACTTACTGAACTATTACATTCAACATTTACATTCAACATATTACATACAACATTTACATACAACATATTACAACTATTACATTCAACATTTAGCTTTTATAAACAAAAACTCTCAACGAAATTTTAAGGTAAATAACTAATGCTTTTAAAACATATTATATCTTTAATATTTTTGTACAACTAACTTGTTTGAATTTTTTATGTATCTTATTTAAACCTTTAGAAAATTGTTATTTAAATATAAGAAAATTTAACTTAAAAAAAGATTTTTATAACTTTCTATCTCTTAAAGGTGCCCGAACCTCCGAGACATGTTGCGTTTTTATTAAAAAGTATGATAAAAAAAAGTTTGGCTTAAATTTTTTTGATTAAAACAGAAGAATAAATGCATAATTTATTCAAGCGCATTTTATTCCTAAGAGTTTTAGTACAGGACATCAATGATTGTTTACATAATCAATCATTCACACAAACAAACAAAAAATCAATGACGTCATGTACTGATAATTGAGGTACTACCCTCCCCCCTGCCTAGGAAATGTCAAACTTCAAAATATTATTAATAAAATTAAAAAAATAAGAAAAAATACAAAAAATTGTAATTCAACAGTTTATTATTTCCTGAAAAAAAAAGTATTTATATAACCATTCAATATATTTATTAGCAAACTATCTTATATACTTTCTAAAATCATTTTAAATGATCAAATGAAACAGTTGTTTTATTTTAAAAAAACGTAAATCTTATTTTTTATATTATTTTTTGGTCTGACTACCCCCCTAGAACAATGACTTGGATCCGCCCCTGCTGTGTGCAGTTTCTCATATCGTTATTCCAACTCTATTAGATTTTTATTCCATTCAGGCAGAAATTTTGTGTGCGGAATTAATCAGAATTAAAATTATCTAAAGGGAATAGTTTTGCAATCATTAAAGGGAATAGTTTTGCAATCATTAGGGTGTCCCAAAAAACAACATTTTTGAAAATAATCTGCTCACCCCCTAAATGTGTTCTATCTAATGCAAAAACACTAGGTTTAAATTTTTTTTCAATAAAAAATATTTTAAGGGGTCCCTCAAGACCCTCGAATATTTAATGGGTCCCTAACATTTTCGAAAAAAAAGTTTTTCAAAAATATGTCAACCTGGTACTCAAATGAAGCGAAATTATATAAAAATTCTAAAAATAATATTCATTTCGAAACAAAGTTGTTATTTTTGGTTTTATTACATAAAAAATTGCGTTTTTTAAGAAAAAATCAAAAAAATGCATTTCTAATGTTTTTTTATGATAATTTTGATAAATAAGTTAAAAATATTTCGAAATGAATATTATTTTTGAAATATTTATATAATTTCGCTTCATTTGAGTACCTTTTAAACTTTTTTTTCGAAAATATTAGGGACCCATTAAATATTCGAGGGTCTTGAGAGACCCCTTAAAAAATTTTTTATTCAAAAAAAATTTAAACCTAGTGTTTTTGTATTAGATAGAACACATTTAGGGGGCGAGAGCAGATTATTTTCAAAAATGTTGTTTTTTGGGACACCCTAATATATATATATATATATATATATATATATATATATATATATATATATATATATATATATATATATATATATATATATATATATACATACATATATATATATATATATATATATATATATATATATATATATATATATATATATATATATATATATATATATATATATATATAAATATATATATATATATAAATATATATACGTATATATATATGCGTATATATATATATCAGCGCTCGAAATAACGGCCAATCAACGATCAATGATCGGCTATTTTTAGGTAAATTTTGAAAAATTCAAGGGATAATAACCTGTTTTTGTTAAAAAATTACATTTGATCGGGAAGCTTTGAAAAACTATTTCGAGCGCTGATATATATATAAATATAAATATAAATATATATATACATATATATATATATATATATATATATATATATATATATATATATATATATATATATATATATATATATATATATATATATATATATATATGTATATATATATATATATATATGTATATATATATATATATATATATTGTTGTTTTATTGTATTAAGTTAAGATACAAAGTTTCTTGTTCATTTGAGAGCGACCAATATAATGTAAATTGTTTATAAAATAGATTAGTTTTAATTTATATAGAGTAAGATTATTTGAAAAACTAACGCACAACCTCTAATATTATTTACCTGTTTCCAGCAGTAGGGTTCAAAATGACATAAAATCGTTTTGGTTTATCTAAAGGTTGGCATTTTTCTTCTCCATATAACTACACAAGTAAAAACAATACAGAAAAAATATTTTAAATGAAAAAATTATATTAAGAGAAATAAAACCTTCCAACATTCACACCATAAGTGTTATCAAGAAAAATTATATTTTGCAATAATGTTTAAAGTTACAGGATTACTGTGTATTTGTGTGTATATGTTACACAACAAATGTGAAATCCTGCATTTCATAAATTTGCAATTCATAAACTAAATAGCTATTGCACAGATTGCAAAATTTTAAATATTTATTGTTTTTATTTTTTAATACTTATTCTGTAAATAAATAATATTTATGCATATTAAGTTTAAATAATATTTATTTTTAAATTATTATATTTATTAGCTTAAATATAACTTATATTAATTTTTTTAAACATATATTATGTGTATTTTAATATGTATAGCCAGTTGATGTATGTACATTCCACTGCGCAAATCCCTATATAATTCAGTTTTAAATATATTTATATATTTTTGGATCCCAACCACGCCCCTGGTAGTACCGCGCTCAACTTGTTTCTCCACGCAGCAGCCTTATTTGTCAAGGTTTGTGTTTCGGAGTTAGAGAGGGTTATAACCACTATTAGGTAGCCTCCTCATCTGTAGTGGCCTTCTCGGCCTTGAGGAGGTGAATAACAAAAAAAAAATAATAATAATAAAATAAAATAAGAAATATGACTATTTAAAAAATAACAATAAAAAATTCAACATTTCAATCCGCACAATAGCGGTATCCATGAAATAAACAAAAATTCGCACATTTTATGAAATGCTGAATGTTGCAATTTGTGTGTAACAACAAAAAAATATTTTGTTCAAACAATTAACATACTTAGGATTACTCCTAATTCTTGTAACTTCAATTTTAGCATTTTAACATTTAGCATAACATCAAATATTTTTTTTATTTTCAAAAAAATATTAATGTAAAAGAAACTTCACAAATAATAACTCTCATGTAAGATTTTTAATAAAATCATTAATAATGGAATATCATTGATGCAACTTAGATGAAGACATTTTGAAACTACTAGAAAAAATGAGTGTTTCTATCAGGTATAATTTTTATACTGATATTTGATATAGAGGTTATACTTTCTTTACAAGTTTATAGATGATATGCTATGGAGAATTTCCATGACACTATTTGAGGAGAGCCTAAAAAAGACTAGTAACAGACAGGGTTGTTGATTAAAGATTGTAGATTAAAAACTAAATTGAGCACATTTTTTAATTTCATGACTGAAGAAAATAAATTTATTTTTATTGACAGAACAAGAAATTTTTTTTTGTTCTTTAGATATGAGCTTTATCAATATGATTTAGATATTTTAAATTAGCAAGTTGACTGTATATCATTCTTTCACAAAATAGTCACCAAATGTAGTTCCCTTACAGCATGGACAACATGTTTTCACAATATGAATACCATCCTTATCACATTATTGTCAAATTTTTCGATTAACCGTTATTGTAACAACCTAGATCTTCATATTTATGAGCAATAATGTACTTGATGAGTCATCTACCATTTTGTCTTTTAGGAACAACTCTAACTTCTAATCTTTCTTAGAAACCATATATCAAATCCATTGCAAAATTATCATCTGCTAAAGCTGAATCTCATTATCGTGCTTGCTACTCATATCTGGAATGGATCTTCAAATGATGCTCTTTCTATTTTAGACAAGATGAAAAAACACATTGTAAACATACTTGGACCTGCTCTTGCAACCAACCTTTAACCACTGTCACATTGTCGTAATGTTGCTTCTCTTTCTCTTTTTTATAGATACTATAATGGGCACTGCTCTATAGAGCTAGCATCTCTTGAGCCATATACTAAAATTCATTTTCGTGTTACTTACCATTCAATCAAGTTTCTTCCTTTTACTGTGATTGTTCCTAAGTGCTACAAAAATTCTTATTTGTTTTTTTCCTCAAACATCAGTTTATTAGAATTCACTCTCGTCTTTTTTTTTCCTGATTTATAGAATTTGTAATCTTTTAAGTTGTCTGTTAATTATTATTGCTTTATAAACTTCATTTTTTCTCTTCCAGTAACTTCGAACTCTAATAGTGGTTGCTTAATGGAAGTGAAGATGTTAAAAAAAAGAGGAAATTTCATGAAACCTCCTTAAAGACAAAATGTTGTGAAGCAACGCAACTTTTAGGCTCCAGGATGAACTGTCTATAAGTTCCATTCAATTTAGTTATGTGTGATACCAATAGTCTCAAAGAGATTGGACTGAAGAAGTTGGAAAATGTTTTGTTGAGGCTTCCTCTGATCTGTGATTTGCACATTTTATTCCAACTTATTTCACTTTTTGGGCCTAGGTAACTAAAGCTCAGCACTTAAATCTAGATCTGTGAATAGTTTATTGACATATTTTTTTAGTTAAAGAAGTAAGAACTATTCTCCTCAAACCCACCCAAGAAACTGTAATTTGTATCTCCAATAACTTCCTCGCTTGCTGTTTTCACCTAAAGATTACTAATTCCTCTTAGGGGAAGTAACAACAAGCAAAAAAAAAATATCTGACCTTCTGGTCAGATATTTTTTAGTGATTTAGGATTATTATAGATGAATGCTCAGTATTCAATATAAATCCAAAACTTCACAAAGTATTTTTGTCTTGTGCACAAGACAAAAATACTTTGGGAACAACAGCTATTTTATACTTTTGGGAACAACAGCTATTTTATACTTTTTGTTTGTTTTCAGCTAAATAGGTTAAGAAAACACACTTTCAACCCAAGGACAAAATAATAAGAAAAAAATTTATTTTATACCGTAATTTTTCTTAAAATTTTTTTAATCAAGTAATATAAAATAACACTTTTTTAAGTCAGGCAACAATAGTAAGCTTTTTTTATTTTCATTTATTACACTTGACTCTTAACACTTTATAATAGTGTAATAAGCTGTTTTTATCATCTAGTGCACTTTATAATAGTGTAATGTTTTTATAATCTAGTGACTTAATTTAATTTTAGTAATTTTTATTAAGAAATTATTTGCAACATGCATTACATATTTAAAAATAAACTTTTTTTTTACATTTAAGCTACTGTAAAGTTTTGATTGATCTATTTACAGTCAATAAACCATAATTTTTTCGTGTAACTGAGAAATGTCTATTATTATAGTGATTTTTTACTTTTACTTTGACTATAAAATACATTCTATGAATTATTAAATGATTTTTTTTTATTTCCAATATATAGCTTTAATTTTTTTATTTAATCTTTTGTGTTATCTCTAGAGTATAGCTTAAGGTACTTAGTTAGCTCTAGAGAACAACAAAAGGTACAGGTTAACCCTAGAGATTGCTATAAATATTTTATATTTATAAAATATTTATCGCAAGGCTCTATATTCCTAGACTGCAGTTTTAGAGGCCTCAGGAGAACTTTTATTCTTATTTCCTGCTTTTGGTAATATGTCATTTTAAAGTCCCTGCCCTAAAAATGCCCTTCTTTAGAGCCCCCAAATTTTGAGTAAAAAAAATTTATGAAAAACTGGGCTTCAACACTTAAACAAATAAAAAACTAAATAATAGCGCATCTTGTGTTGCATTGTAAAAAATAATAAACATTTGTATATTCATAATACTTTTTAAAGCTTATAATTTTTTTTTTAAATTAGTTTTGCTGTTAATTTTCAATAAGAAACTTATCAAGATTTTTAAATGAATGTATGTGTTTATAAAATTTACGTATCATTTAATAAGTCTCCCATATTTATTATTATCACTTCGTTATTTTGCTAAAATATGAATTGTTTTTAAGAAGAAAAAATTTTGATTAAATCCAATTAGAATCTTTAAAAAAAAAAACATTCTTGATTGTCATGTTTTTCTAAAGTATTATAGTTCAAAATATAACATAACAAAATACAGCAAAACATTGATTTTAATCTTTTATTAAATTTCACTATCCAAAAAAAAAGATAATAAAATCTAATGAAAAAGTATCAGCTGTCACATCGTGTTGTTATTCATATTTTAAATCACTTCATTTTTGAAAACATTACTCATAAAAGAAATTCATAAATTGTCTGCTTTCTTTTAAAACTAATCCATGTAAATAATTAAGGCTGTTTTTAAAATCAAATGATAATTAAAACATATCTTTGACTTAAAATAACTTTTATAAAATAAAAAAAGTCCTGAATGATAAATGGTCCTCTAAAAAAAGGTTATCATTTTTTAAATGACTTTTGCGGTGGCCTTATAACATTTGCCCAAGATGACCTTAGATACTGCATTTATTTTGCTAGAATCTATTTAATTATTATTATATTCTATTTAACTACATTTCTTTACTGCTATTATCTACTATAGTCAATATATTTAAACACTATTTTTTTTTTAACTTTTATTCATTTCTTATTTATAATCATGTAAAGTACACAATAAATCTTATATATAAGTCTATTAAACAAAAAACATAAACTTTACAATATTATAAAGATATTAATTTATTAACGTCATTTTAGTAATAATGAGTAATTAAAAGAAAAATGTAGCAGTAGAAAAAAGAACTTAATCCGCTCCTATCTATTCATGGAATCCACATAAGGTCTAATAAGCTAATTATAGTTAATAAATACACTTTACTTCTGACTGGAGGACTAGTTGACATAATCCTTATTTATAATAACTTAGTTTATGCTATTTACAAAATTAACATTTTTTTTAATAAAGTTTTTAAAATAAATTATTATATTTTTCCTTACCTTTGCTTCAAGAAAAAATGATCTTCTTATCAAATATTCCCTATAAAGAATAAATATAAAATATAAAAACGCTAACTTAATAGTTAAACACAAACAATATTATTTTTATTATTGTTAGTATTATTATTATTATTTACTAATCTTTAACAGGATAAATCACTTCACATGATAACCATGGGCATTAGTTAGCATGCTGTAGTATCATGTGGTTCAATCTCCAGCTCTGCCACCCATGTAAGAGGTGTACGAATGTACAATTAGTTTTTTAATGTTAAACTACTTTTTATTTTTTAAACCTTGGTATAAATAAAAAAACAAATTGCAATTCTAGTTATACATGTAACTAAGCCTTTAAGTTATGAAGCATGAAATGAAGCATGAATAAAAATATTAAATTAATTTCCATAAACTGAGTTGCAGATGGAGGTGAAAGTATGGGATAGCTGGAGCAGGAGCAAGAAATTTTAAAATGCTGGAGCCAGTACCATTTTTTAGCAGATTCCACAGTTTTGATATACAGTTGTATAAAAATTTATTTTAGCCACCCGCAATTTTTTACAACTTTTTAAGTCTACTATTTTGATATTTTCTAGTGACTAATTACTTAAAAGTTATATTTATTTTATAAACATGTTTTTTATTAATAAATAAAAAAATTTAACAAATTAGTAATAAATTAATATTAAAACCACTAATGATATATTCCAAATCAATATTTGCTAACCCCCTTTTTAACATCTTATTTGTAATATTTTCTTCAGATATTTCTTTCTTAAGAAGTTCCAAAATTTTCTATATGATTTAGGTAAAGAGAGTTTCCTGATGTCCCATCCTGCATTATAATTTTCTTACCACCTGGACCAAATCATTCTGTTAATTGTGGCAAAATCTTTTGTTCCAGGATTCTTTATAATACAGCTAGTTACATTGTAGCCTCCCTATTCCCCTTCCACATAATACTGACCAGATCATCACTGAGGAAAATTTTTACCAGTTTTTAAAATTCAGTTTGATAAGTACTTTTTCCCTGTCTCTTCACATATTATTCCTTATTTGTCTTTTTACATATTGGGCCTTCTTTGTTAACACTAGGTAAGTACTCATTACTTAAGCTACCTGTAAATATTATAAAGTATTGTTGAGTAAATCTTTAGAAGTTTGATGTAAGAAATGAATTCTTTTTAATTAATATTACATCTAAATTAGTTATACTGATATCCAATCGTCTTCAGTTAAACTCCTGTATTTTTTGCGCAATCCAGCTCTTTTTGTATCAATTTGGGCTTTTGACTGGGCATTGTGAATTTTTTTCCACATATCTATAATAGAATAACACATGTCAGTAACACAGTTAAGTACTTTATATACTCAAAACTTAAAAAATATAACATAAAATAAAAATATTCTTACCTTAATATGAAAATATTCACAAAAAAATATTTTCACTTAATTAAAAATGCATTTTAAGATAACTTTAAAAAATAAATTAAAAATTCTGGTTATGAACTCAACATGTACACAGCAACAAGGTTAGTAACAAGATGACATATAAAATGGTAATTAAAAGTGACAATGTTACCAGTAGTAAAAAAAAAAAGCGCTGATTATTGTGAGTTGAAATTTCATTTTAAAAAAATGGAGTTATGAAAAAATGAGATTATATTTCAACTTTTAAAACTTAAAAAACAGCACCAGTCATAGGTGCTTCTTTCCATATTTTAACATGAGAGAGTACAGTGCGAAAGATAATTTAAATTTTGATTTTATTGGCACTCTTTTACATTAAAACCTGAACGATGGCAATTAGGATACTATACAAACCTTCCATTTTTCTGATTTCTAATGAGAGTTCTTTTATATTCTTTTATACTATTTTTTTTGCTCTGCCAAAGTGAAGGCTTTTTATGCAATTTCAAGTTTAGGTTTAGGTAGATGTAAAACATAATTTAATTTCAGGTAGATTCAGGATTATTTAGAGTAAAGAACTAGAGTATATGTTCATTGGAATTTGGGATTGTGCATGAAATGTCACTGATAGTAAGTAATATTTTTGGCACATATTATGAATGATATTTATCATGTCAATTTTTTTGTTTTAAAATTTAATTGGCACGGACAAGGTTCTGTCCACAATGCAGCCATTAATAGTGTTGAGAAAACAAGTTAAAAATAATAAACAAAACAATCCTGCTACAAAAAACTAGTTTTTTAAAAAACCTGCCATTTATTTTGAAAATTTGTCTTTGATAAATAAAACTTTAAAGTCTGTAAAATTTATGAATTATATAATAAGCTTATAAATACATTTATACATTTGGAAAATTATTTTAAATTTATTGTAATGTCACATTCGTTATATCTTTAAAGACTACAAGACAAAGTATTTCTATAAATTGTGTCTTTTCAGTATCTAAAATTTGTTTTGTTTGGAGCAACTAGCCTCACCTTATGAAGTATCAAAAGGCGATGCTGGTTATTCTAAAGAAAGTAGGGCAATGTAAAGAATGTAGTGCCTCAAAAAGCTATAGTGGTAGTTACTGTTACCAAGGCACTTAAACCACTTTGAAAAGTATAAAACTTGTCTGTCATTCGAAAGAGAACAGAAAAGCTATGAAAAAAAACACTGATCAAAGGGCGAGTCAAATGGCTAAAGCAGTAGGTAATTAAGATATTGCTTCTGGTATAGCAGTTATAGATTAAGAAAATGCAAAAAAAAAAAAATATTGCTTACCCTGTTGCAAAGTACAAATTATCATTTACAAAGAAGGAATCAGGTAAAACTCTTTTAATATTGTTATTATTTAGTATGTAATGAAAAAGTATAAATTAAACAATGAGTTATAGAAACCATCGCTAAAAGAAAGAGAAAAAAAGATTGTGATTTAATGCTGTGTATTGTAAATAAATAATGTAAAACCTGTTAAACAACATTTTCATGATGTTAAACTCTAATTTTGACTCTGAAGTTAAATCATCAAATGTTAACAAGTTGCAACAGCAGGTTTGTAACACATACTAAAATAATTATTTATATTGCTTTAGTAAAATTGAAAAAAACAACTAAGAGCTTATGTTTAGACAGGCACATTCTATTTATGAAGAGAATTTACTTGTCAATAAAAATAAACTTGGCAATTTTCCAAATGTATAAAAACTTATATTTGAGTTGAGAAGACTTTAAGTCTTGTTGTACAAAAGTATCCAAAAAGTATATTTTAGGAACACCATTCTAAAATAAATATAGGGCCAAACCAATGTAAATTAAATTGAGCTGACATTCCTACATACAAAAAATTTTTCAAACTTCTTTTCAAAAAGCTATAAACTATAAATACTGAAGTATTGCATTGGTCAGCAGTTCACTGAAATTAACAGTTGCATACATAAAAGTTTGCCTAGGTATTATAAAAGTTAAAAAAACAAAATCGGCTAACAGCAAATCAGGTAAAAAATTATCAAGTTCTTTATGATTTTAATGTTTTTTAAAGGTTTTTCTTTTTCTTTTTAACTCTCTGTATTTATGTTTTTGTTGTTGACTTTAATACTTTTTTTAACAGAAGTATTGATGACAATAACTTTATATATGAAAAATATAAGTATAACATAAACTTTTTATTTTTTTATGTTTGGTATTATTTATTACAAACAGGTACATTATTTATAACAAGTTTTTTAAAACATAAAAACACAAAAAATAATTTCCAAATATGTAAATAAAACATTAGGTGACTCAACATTGTCTTCTCTAACAATAATGAATTTAATCATATAAAAAAGTGTAGCATCTTTGCTTCCACATCTTCTGTAAACCATACAGTACAATTTTTTTTTGTGTAACTGTTTATAACCAACAAAATTGGTTAAGTTGCAAACAGTAATGACAGAAAGATAAATAGGTTAAAAAACCATATGCTTTATTAAGATATTATAACAATAAAGCAGATCTTAACAATCAGCAAAAGTTTTGATATGAACATTATTGAGCAATATGAACTGTGGCTAAATGACCTAAAGGCACACTTTTTAAGATCTTTTTTCACTATTGATAAAATGAAAAAAAAAATGTTGCCCATTACTTTTTGAGAACCATTCATCATCACTGTTGTTCCCTAAGACCTGTGTCTTAGAGAACAACAGTGGACAAAATAACCCAAAAGAATTATTAAGTTTGAATTAGACACAATTATGTTTGAATGGAATTTTTAAGAGTAATATGGATCTGTTGATTAATTAGTTTAATTAGTTTATTAAAATAAATGTTTTAATTAGCAGGGGTTTAATGCAGCCAACTGTAAAAAAAGAATTAAAACAATCAAATATAATTGATCAGATAAATAAAAGTTTTAATTTCATAAACATTACACAGATATAATTTAAATAGAAAAGAAAAGTTATATGTATGAATAGTTTCGCTTTTTTTTTATATATAGTTTTGATAATGGAGTTTATTGCCCCATTTATCAAGCAGAATGGTTCAGAGGTGAAAAAAGAACTAGGAAAAAAACAGTAAGTCCTATGCAACTAGCTAAACAACAACAGATGCCTACAATTCTGTCATATGTAAACAGATATTCGCTAGCCAGGCATCCAAACATTATTACAAATATTTTTTTAGCACTAGTGCTCACAATGCTCCTGCCTCGACATTACTACTACATTTATTGCTGTCTATAGCATCGCTAACTGCAGCATCATCAACAAATTTGAGTCAACGTTAGTTGTAACTTTTTTGCTTTGTCTTTAATTATATGACATGACATTTTTCTGAATAAAACTTTTGTACATATAGAAATATACTTTGCTTATTACTTAAAAATAATTCCAGTTTGAATTTAATATTTATTTACTTATTTCAAAGAAAGAAAAAAAAGTTCTTAAAAACACACGGCTTAATGGCCCCTGCTGCCCTACTGTGTAATTTATGTCCAATTTTAAATTCTATGCAAATGCGCTAATTTGTTTAGATCAAAGGTAGTACATACTTGGAATAACCAATATTTTTTACTATAAGTAGGGCTATAATAACAAGTACTACAAAATGAAAAGAATTCTAATTAAGAATTCTATATAATATATATAATTATATATAATAAAAAGAATTCTAATTTAGCAAAATTACTATATAAACTTTAGACTAAAGAGAGGGTTCAAATGATTGATACATTTATATTCTAGGAGCGTAATGGCTAAATGTTGTTTAAATGACAATTGCATATATATATATATACATATATATATATATATATATATATATATATATATATATATATATATATATATATATATATATATATATATACATATATATATATATATATATATATATATATATATATATATATATATATATATATATATATATATATATATATATATATATACATTTATATATATATATTTATATATATACATATATATATATATATATATATATATATATATATATATATATATATATATATATATATATATATATATATATATACCGATAACGTTGGGATCCATAATTTAGAGCGTATATAAAAGCAGCAGCACCGAGCAAAGTTTTCTTCTTGTTTTTTCTTATGGTATAAAACACGCTCTTGTTGGCCATATTTAATGATACTTATTTGGGTTC